CTAGAAAGTATACACAGGAGGATGTGCGTAGGTTATATGCAAATAGTAAGCCATTTTAAGTCAGGTACTTGAGTGTCCCCAGATTTTGGTATCCACAGGGGTCCTGGAACCAATCCCTCATATTGAGGGACAAGTGTGTAAAGAACAGTCCAAAGAATAAAGCCCTTGTCTGAGAAACCAAATCTGGATTACATCTCACAGTGACAGCAATGGACATCCTTCAGGGTACAGGAGACGGAGGAGAAAAACAAATGAACAATTACAAGTGAAAACAACTACTTGTAGGGGAAAAAAAAAAAAAAAAAACAACTATTTTTATGACTTCCAAAACCACTGACTTTTAAATGCTTAGAGACTCAGAACAACAACAGTATTCAATAAATAGATTCAAACAATCAGTGATATTATACTCAAGAAGAACTTGTAATTTTTCAGCAAAATGAAGATATATAAATTCTGTTGCCAACCATTGATGTTTTTGTCTAGCATTCAAGGAAAAAAGAAATCAGACTTTGGCTTTACTGAATACAGATAATTAATTAAGCCTCTATCAACAAAAAATTTCAATAAATACTAAACCTAGGTACCATGTTTACACATTAAGGAGAACTAAAATCTATAGTATATTTGAGATACAATGTTGGCATCATCAAATCAAGCACTGTTATGTCTTCTATAATTGTTTTGCCTATTGAGAGAAAGAGTATCACCCAAGGTTAGACAGAAACATGATAGAACGGGATCCAAATCCAGATCCGTTTGACGTGGCGGCCTGTGCTCCTTAGGCAAAACTGCGCTGCCAAAAGAAAGACTATCACAGCCCAGGCCAAACTTAAATGTCCCAAAATTTTCAAGGTTGGTAAATTTTTTCTAATTTCAGTTACTTTGGAACTTACTAGAGAAATTATATACTAAGAAAGAAAAATAAACAATGGAATCCAAAAGAGTATATACTCTTAAGAAGACTGCAGTACAAGGTAATTATGCCACCTCACTCCACCAATCTAAGAATGTAGCCACCAATAAAATTTAACACACTTTAGGGAAAAAAGCAAACTTTTGATTTTTAAAGAAAAGTAAAGGAGATCACCTGTGTCATCTTGAGGGGAAAGATGGATTTCCCCAAGCACAAAACATCATAAACTGTAAGACAGAAAACTGACACATTCAATTACATTCAAATTTAAAACTATGCACTGAAAGACACCACTATAGAAGTAGAA